TGGTGGATGTATTTCATGATGTGGTGGATGTATTTCATGGATATTAGCATGCATGTATATACAGTTTACTCTAAAAGCTGCTTCACCCATACCTTCAGTTGCTGACTTGAAAATCACTTGTCAGGGTTAAATGTCTTGAATACCCTTATATCTGCTAAATAACTTCGCTTAACAACTTGGTCTTGGGAGTGACCGCCTTCAATATTTCTGTGTAATTGCTCTTGAATCTTCACAGCAAGGCTTCAAACAACTCTCGGCAGTTAGCTTACTGTTTGCCAATTTCTTCACAAAAAACCTTTGCTCAAGCCTCAAATCTCGAAACAGAATAAAACCTTATTAACGTAACTCATAGCAACCAGCAGTCAATCGATTACACGGTGAATGACTCTTTTCCTTGCTGATCACTATGACCAAATTTGGTGAAAATTATTAACGTATTCTCATCACAAAACGAAAGAGTTCATTAACTTTTTATTAACTATAATATGAAAGAATTTATGTATATATAATATCTCCGATAATATATATGCATGATGTAAATATCTTAATTCTTTTTGTAAATATATACTAATATATACATACATGTCATTATTCCGCACTAACTTTACGGTTTTCATGCATATAAAGCATTTTTTACGCCAACGCGAAAGCCCCCCAGTCTGTCGGTGCCGTGTAAAAGCCCACTGACACTGTAGTTATTATACGCCCACCCATATATATTAAGGCGAATGGCTTACATGCAACTGAACAAGAAAGATGCCATATAATATTATACTGCTGTTTTATTACTTTTATAGGGTGTGGATGTTATTATTAATTAATATGTTTTGGTAAATACCAAAGTTTACTAAAAACCTTAGATAAAAATTTGACACTGCCAATTAAAAAAGGACTTGAAACTACTATACGTTCCGGTCAAAAGTCTTTGACCTTTTTCGGTTGTGTAAAAAAAACAGGCGATGCCATTATGTCAAAATTGATTCGAATCCGAGTACAACAAAGGCCCAGAAAAAAGTTTATGCAAATTATAGCCATTCCCGAGAACCCCGTAAAGTTTTTAAGTACTGAGTGCGGATTGAAAATATTATATTTTTTAAACATAACTACAGGCTGTAATCCATCTGATTGTTCTAGAAGCAAAGATCAATGCTTTTTATTATATATGTTATTGTATAATTGTACCAGTGTCTTTTCTAGTAAAAATCTAATGGTGCGTCCCTAACTCACATTTTTAGTCAGTGTCAAATTTTCAATAAAGCCTAAAGGTTTTTGATAAAGTTTCTCAATATAGAAATCTTCATCATGGCCATGGGAATGTTATTGCTTGTATCAACGTATATATTGTATATACTTTAGTCTCGATTATTAACACAAAATTGCATCTGCTTAAAAGCTCCCACCCACATTTCAAACATGATTATCGCTATATTAGGCTGATACGCCCTATTTAACATATGTCACGAGATAAGAATCACTCTATAAACAGTGATTTACCATTTTAGCACTTTAGTGTTGCATTATATTCTTTTTATTCTATTATAATTGACACTGCATGTGTTTCCTCGTTCTTTGAAAACCTAATGCCACTTGTGTATTGCGGTCTATTCTTAAATTAGGTTTGAGTCAAAACTGTAATGCGCGAATCAAATCGAAATCTTGACATCCCTCTCCCCCAGCATACCTGGTGAATTTGCTTGTTTAGTATTTTAAGAAGGCGGGAATTTGACCTTTTTTTCTAGTGGAAGGTGGGAATTTGTTAAGGGGGTCGGGAATTTGAATTTTTCTTATAAGCACGTGTGCTGAATCCAAAATGGCGTCAATGGATTAATTCAAGTGCAAAGGAATTAACTTTGCCCTTGGTTGACAGCAAGAAAACGGCTTTGAACGATTGAAGAGAGTTTTTGAAGGAAAGAAAAACTTTGTAATTCCAAAATTACGAAATGCTGCAGCTTCCAATTCGTACATGGGGTGGGGTATTTGAACTCCAATTTTTCCCAATACGTGCAGGTGTATTTGAACGGGAATTACAAATATATGTAGGGAATTTGACCTGAACAAAACGTCAAAATCCAAATTCCCGAGGGAATGCGGGGGGCGCATAAGCTATATCATGTTTGTATGTGCTCTTTTTGAGATTGTTCCTTTCCATGTATTGCTTTCATATTCATATTCATTTGAACTTCAATCAAAAAATGTATACTGATTACAAAGAATGACAAAAGATGAAAACCTCCATTGAAAGTTGGGCAATTTGCATACGAAGCAGGTGGTCTATATGAACACTAGTCTACTTGTCATGTCATGCAATAATACCGTGTTCTTATGAAACGGCATTGGTGAGAAAACGAGGTTATTTTGAATCATGTCTCGTTGTTTAATAATTGCTATAACCCTAATCCTAACCCCTACCGGCCTAACCGCTGATCCTAACTCATGAACAGCAAAACATGAATCTATATATCCAACATATATATCCTTTGAGATTGACGCAATGTTTATTTTTAATATCTGCAGTAATATTATTTAATAACATTTTGGTCGGGCAGTTTGTACGTAAAAGTCAGGCAGATTCTACTAAAAAATTAATAATAATAATAATAATAGACTTTATTTAAAGAAGGTATTACATAAACCAGTTTAGCAAAGCTAATTAAATCTTAAATTGGGCGGCAATTGACTTAATAAAAATGACTAAAGAAAAGAGCGGCGCGCATTACATTGGTAGACAAAGGAAGAACGTGTTAATGTGGGTTCCCAAAATTTTGGTCTGCCCCTTCCTCCGTCGACAGAAATTTTGGTAAATATATGAAGAAAAAAATTTTCCGCACTTTAGTCACCTTGATATGGCATGTAGTAAAACACTGACTACCGGAACACCGGAACACCACCGGAACACCACCATTTTGTTTGGTGTTAGGGTTTGGGGTTAGGGTTAGGATTGGGGGTTAGGGTTGGGGTTAGGGTTGGGGTTAGGGTTAGGATTGGGGGTTAGGGTTGGGGTTAGGGTTAGGTGGTGTTCCGGTGGTGTTCCGGCGGTGTTCCGGCGGTGTTCCGGCGGTGTTCCGGTGTTCCGGTAGTCAGTGTTTTACTACATGCCCCTTGATATCGCTGACTATTCTTTAGTGGGTAACTGACATAAAATATTAAAACTGGGAGAACTTGAGAATTTACGGTATATCAACCTCTTCTAAAATGCGCCTAAATATCAAATTAATATAAAATGATACTAAAAACCAGTTTTGTTTTTATTAGCTTCGCCAACTAGGGCAGGGTGTTAAGTGTATAAACTTACATGAGAATAGATTTTCAGTCCGTTTTTCAATCTTTGATGAATATGCAGGCTTGCCTTGAAAGTGTTTTGCCACTGATCCAAACTGACGCGTAAATGATATCGAGTCACAGAGTCATACGACACAGCACTTTGCAGCCTAGCAACAACAGTAATGGGAAGTTTGCAGTGACCTAGAAAGATATTCAAATTTACGGGGTCGGAAATCTAGGGGATCCAGGGGCTTGTCTCCCCAATATTGAGCCCGAACTAATGCGATTTCCTGCACTTTCTGGCAGCGAAAAGAAAAAATTGGACAACAAAACTACTGGGACTAAAATTGCCTCATTAGTAAATTATGCAAGGTGATTGGCTCACGGTTCATGAGGGCGAGGCTCCCAGGCCAAATGACGTAATTATCGAAAGCGTGTATTGGTTTTGTTGGTTTGAGGGGTATAATCGCATGCTAATTAAGCATTTTTGAACCACCTGTAAAGTGCAAGAGTCTACTAATTCATCAAATCATTCATTTTCATACCAACTCTTATGATTGACATAGAACCGTTTAAATGAATTTTCCCAAAACCCTTCGTCTTTACTTCAAACCCAAGGAATTTCGAGGAAGTACTTTTCAAAAGAGTAAGGAATTTGCAGTCGTTCTCCATCAGTGGAGGTCGACTTGGATCTGTTTGAACAGCTGTTTGTTTTCCTTAATACATTTGGACGAAATTTATGCACGACTTTTTACAGCTGATCAAATGTCCATTGTCATGTCCGAATTATCCGAAAAAAGTAATCAGTGAAGCCGTTTCAATCTTTTCAAGGTTCCGACCCAAATCGCGGTAGTTTATGGTAGACTGTACGACTCTTTCAATTTTGTTCTTCGTTACATTACTACGTTGGTAAAAGTTTCGAAACATGGCATTAAAACAGAAAAACATTCTTACAAAGAATAGACCCTAAGCAATACATAAAAAATAAGCAACACTAAACAACCCAGGGGAGGTGCATGACTATATCTCAGGGGAGGTTGCGCACCTCCACACACCTCCCCTCAAAATATGGCCATACATGCGACCTACACTGGCCACCCCCTGCCTCGTACTCAGGCGCTATGTGTTGTTCTAAGGCTTTCGTAGCCTTTGCGTGGGCCGCGTGGATTAATTTGACCAAAGCGACTGGGTACGAGGCAGGGCCATTCCCACGTTTGAGTTTTCATCACTATTAATCACAGAATAAAGATCAATAACAGAAGAGCCACTCAGCGGTGCAACATGTCCTCGTTTTTTTATGCAAAAATATGCAGTTTACTGGCCAAAAGGCGGAGCAGCCAGCCAATACAGCGCGTTTATTGGCCAGAAAATGTCATTGACTGGCTAGGAAAATGGCGGCCAAGATGCGTAATGCGACATGCGCGAGGACAGAAACTTCAAAGCTTCCGACGTAAGTGGCCCTTCTATATGGATCTTTATTCTATGCTATTAATATCGCAATGATATTCTGTGCTAATTTCTTGCGACTTGTATGGAATTTCATCCCAGACCGCTTTGGTTTCCCGCTATGCCGTTGCGTGGATATGACGATCATGATAATCCACGCGGCCCACGCAAATGTCACGCGAGCCATAGCAACAACATAGCGCCTGGGTAGGAAGCAGGTTCTATGGCAAAAATGACAATACTGCTGATATGAAAACGCGTTGTAAGACTCTATGTGCTTCAATGTACACAAAGTAATTGTCGCAATGGGGAAGCTGCTTACTTGAACGTTATGATAGTTGTTGTAAAAGAATGTGCCAGTCAGAATATTATTTCAGCAAGGAGCTTTATATTGATTGCATTTAATTAGGTGAAAATTGCGGAACTAGGAAAATTCTGTCATTGTCGAAGATTCACGGGATTAGTTGAAATAAATTAAATTCCAGGAAAACGTTCGAAAATTCCGCAAAATAGTGCTATCTATGTAAACCACCTGTTTATGGCTAAATTGAGCTTCCTGTGAGCGATGTGGCGGAGTAACGAGCCTTAGTTACTTTTTTGTTTTCGGCTCGCTCTTTTCTTCCGTCCGATGATGTTAATCCATCAAGCCGCTTTGCGCCCAAACGGTTTTACCCATTAAGGAAAAGTGTTGGGCGCCGATGGTTTTAGTCGCCCACTAAGTCGTAACGCGCCTTACTGTAATCCCGTTTATACGTATTATACAGCTAATCTAGGGTTGTGGTTGCCGAATATGCATGCGCATTCGCATAATATTGTAAGCAGTTTGCTTTTCGTGTGCGCACACTCGTGCCAAAAATTATTCAGCATGTTGAGTATTCGGAAGAAGTTATTTCGCTGACCTCAGATCGGAATGTCATTTCGTGAAAACTTTCTTCTTCAAGATAAGTTTAGAAACAAACTTGGAGTAGGGTTAGGTTAGGGTTAGTGTTTGGAATAGGGTTAGTGTTAGTAAAACCATTGCTTTGTTAGGCGTTTTGTCACTTTGAGGCCAGCGAAATAACCTCTTCCTGAGTATTCGACGTCAGCTAGGACGTCTGGGCTGAGCAGAAGACTGGAACTAGGACGTCGTCCTGAATAAATAGATGAGAATTGAAGATCTGCGACGCGCTTGCGAAAGAAATATATTTGTCATGCAAGACAAAAACTGTGAATAATTTGTGGTCCCAAGCGTATTCAATTCTTTGTCATTTTCAACACAACGTTAAACTAAGCATTATCACGTCTTTCAAGCAACGTGAAAGCTTATTGCGACCCAAGATGTGTTAAGCCTGGTTCACATTGATCGGCGATGTTCTTTAATCTTTAATCTTTAATAAAATTTCTTTTAACACGGTAGCCTATTCAGTATAATATATACAGTCTGTTTTTCAAAGGGCCGTGCTATATAGTATTAAACACACATTAACTATGGATATTTACATTTAATTACAGCACATAATTATTACACACTCCATTAATTTCGGAAATGCATTATACATTATTCATGTGCAAGCTTAAGGGCTAAACGCCTTTTGAAATTGGGTAAAGATAAATCCTGAATGTTATTAGTTACTTC